AAGAAACCGACCTTGACATTGGGAGTCAAGTATTAGGTCAAGAGTCGGATTCTAGATCTCAAGTTGAAAATTGGGGTTGGGAGTTGCGATGATTTTTTAGTCGAATCACCATATTAGGGTCAAGGGTTTGGTCCCTGGAGGGGGGGGGGGGGGGGGAATCATAATCTGGTTCTGGATCAAGAACTAGGGTTTAGGGTCAAAGTTGAAAGTTAAGACTCGAGCCAAATTTTGAATAAAGGTCAGGATTGGACCCCAAATGAGGTTAGGAGTCCTGTCATGGTCAAGAGTTGGGTTTCGAGTTGAGAGATGTGGTCGAAGTCGGGAGTTGAGTCTTGGATCGTAGGATCAAGGTTCCCCGTTTGAGTTCGAAGTCGAGTCCCATGTTGGGGCGAGTCCAGGGTCTAGAAAATATCTATTTCACATAGAATAATCATTTTTCTTAAATTTAAGAAAAATATTTATTTTTAAAAAATTCTGAAAACAATTGAAAACATCTCATATTTTCCTCATACTACCAACCACACACCTCAGATATTCTCTCAATGTCCAAATTGTACTCAAATTATAATTAATGGGTCAAAGATTGAGTTCAAAAGTATAAATTTTATCCATTTAAAAATTATTCCCCATACAATCAAATATAAACGAATTGATAAGCTATGAGCTCATGTTGATAACACTATCCATAATATATATATATATATATATATATATATATATATATATATATAATAATAAGTACTCCACTAATTAAAAGGAATTTCTTTTATTAAAAATCTTCCACACAATCCCAAATATTTGCCACTCCATCAATTGCTCCAACAAACATTTAACAAGAATCTTGAATCATTTGATAAAGTTGCATGTACACACTAAAATTTAAAAAAATAAAAAAAGGGAAAAAAATTTAAAATGGGACCAAATTGATTAAATTTTTTAAAAATGGGCAATCATCGAGTGCACCTATGTGCAAGGAACACTTTGCAATCATCCTTTGGAGCGATGGTTGGAATATACGAGATATCATCACAGCCGTCGGTTTTGTGTCTCTTGAAATCAATCAGAGCCGTAAACATAGCAATGAAAAGCATCAAGTGGTTAATAGCATACTTCTGGCCCACACATGCATGGGGCCCAGCTCCGAATGCTAGAAAGTTCTTTTTGTAAACCCGCTCCTCTTGTCTCTCCTCCATGAACCGGTCCGGGTCAAATTTCTCCGGTTCAGGAAAACCCTGAAATGACGAGTCAAAAACCGACGGGAACACAATTGTTCCTTTCGGGATAACGTAATCTTCGGTTAACCGGAATTCTTCACCAGCAATATGTGGCACCATAGTTGCCGGAGCTCTGATTCTGATTATCTCACGCGCCACCGCTTCCAGGTACTTCATTTCCCTGAGCATCTCCGCCGTCAGCGGCTGCTCAGATTCTGGCGACCAGAATTTCGCTACCTCCGACCGAACTTTCTCCAAAACTTGTGGGTGAGAATCCAGAAGCACGACTGCCCATAACAGAGCAGAAGTAGAAGCATCTTGAGCAGCAAAGAGGAAGTCGAACAGGTAACCTCCAAGTTCCTTGTTAGTGTACTGAAATGGCTTTTGTAATCCATTGATATTAGCTTCATCAATCTCTCTTAAATTTTCCTGCATCCAGAAATCAATCAAGCATGTGGGTTCTTCTTCGTTTTTCATCTTGTTTAAGCTCTGTTCCACACATACCGAAAGGGTGTCGACTAATCTCCCAACTGCTAATCTAGCATTTCTGAAGGCAAAACCCGGTAAATCTACAGGGAGTTTCATTAACCCAACATTGAAGTAATTGTAATCAACATTGAATCTCTTTCTGGATTCTCCATCCAAATATGGACCAACGAACACAGTCTGGGAAGTATCTAAGTTCATATCCCGGCAAAGTAGTCGAAGCGGGATTGGGGTGTTAGGGGATTTGGATGCTTCATCTAACCAGGACTTGAAGTATTTGATAATAATCCTCTGTTGGATATCAGTGTAAGTTCCAAGAGCTTTAGGAGTAAAATTTGGGGCAATTCGTCGGCGAAGGTCTTTATGTTCTTGGCCAAACATGTAAATCAAGTTATGCTCGCCGAATAGTTTTTTCCCAAAAGGGTGACCGATAAGATGGAAAGCGTCGGGGCGGACATTGGCAAAGACCTTATGGGAGAGGTCAGTTGAGTGGATATAAAGAATGAACTTACCGATGATATAGTTAACAGAGAACCCATGTCCGGTAGACTTAGCTAAAGCTGATTGAAGGTCCCAGAATTTAGTTGGATTTGTGACTAAGGGAATTACGTTGCCAAGAAAGGGGAATACAAGAGTTGGGCCAGGAAGAAAACGCTTCTTCTTGATGTAAGAGATCTGTTCAAGAAGAAGTAGAAAAGCTATGAAAGAGAAGAAATAAGGTATCCATGGGGATAACAAGACCCAAATGGATGCCATGTGCAGTATAGTTCTTCTTCTTCTTCCTTAGCCTTCCACCGGAAACTATTTGATAATATGGATTTAAATGGTGTGTAGGGTTTATATAGTAGGATGAAGGTTGGATAGGTGGGTCAAACAAGAAAGCTGAGAGAGAAAAATATAGTTAAAACTGTGCAAGAAGTTGGAAAACGTGGAAGAAGAAAAAACCAAATCTGAATTTTATTAGGCAGAAATTTCAGATTGTACAGTGTCATTTACAGGTGGTCTTGGTCGAGAAGGTGAATTTTGTTCAGTTTTCTAGTCTGAGTTTCACTTTTGGAGATGGAGAAAGTGTTACATTGGGTATAGGAAAGCGGAAAAACGAATTGATTGACTATGGTAAAGGTTCAACTCACAAGAGAGTCAAGCAATGTTTATAACAATTTAGCTGTCGTTTGGCATGCATGCATTGTATCCTGAAACTATTATACCTTATGTTAAACGACTCGTTAGGGAATAGAGAATGATTATTTAGGGTCGAAATCCAGCTGGTCATACTAATAGGAGTGGTCCAGTGGAGACATTTGCAAAGAGACAAAAGCAAATATTACATGGGGAATTTGCTCTTCTCCTTTGAATCTCTCTGTCCCAAAATCCTTTTAACCTTATGGGGCCACCTCGATTCCATCGGACATTTCATTACCGTTCACCAATTCAAGTATGTGTTATAAACTATACATTTTCTAAGGTCGGATTACTAACAATCTGATGTTAAGATACGTTTATCTGTTTACTAAGAGTGACAGATATCTATCTATAAATTCTTAAAAGGTTGCTAATAATTGGTGATATTTTAATACAAGTTGTAATGTAACATGTTGGAAGAATGCTTACTCTTTTTTGGGAGAGTAGGGTCGTTTTTGAATGCTATTGCTAGTGGGTTAGTACTGCAGGGGCGGACCTACAGTGGTTCAAGTGGGCTCATATGAACCCACTTCGTTGAAAAATAACACTGTATATATATGTATATTTAATCAGTTTTTAAAATTTTATATGTATATATTAAATTTTGAACCCACTAACACAAGTCTGAAGCTTAGTTGAGTGGTTGAGGGGGTTCAATTTTCCCAGCCAACTCGGGATCGAATCCCCATTGCCACATTTTAGTTTTAATTCGTTTTTTTGATATATAAAATGTTCACACACAGTTTTATCTTCTATGTAGGTGTAAATTTTGGCCTTTTAGTTACTTAAAAATTATAAAAAGTAGAACAACTTTTTACTTTTACAATTAAAAGTCCAATAGTCAACAACTTTTGTCCTTTTTGTTTTTAATTTATTTTAAAAAAAAAAAACTCAACTAAAAAGGCACTAATCCCTATTATTTTCAATTCTAAAAACTCTTTTGTCTTCTTCTTTGTTGAATGCTTTTCGCTCTTGATTCTAGTCTTTATATATACATATATGATTATTGTGGTTATTTTTTATTTCTTCAACTAAAAAATCCCTTATCATTCTAAAATCAACAAAAAATTACAAATAATATTAGATATATTTCTATATATTTGATTCTGAAATTAAGGTTATAATTATTTTGTTTAATATTTTGTTTTTATTTGTTAAATGTTGAATGAAGAAAAATCATTCATAATATTCTTTTATTTTCTTAGTTTATATTGAAGCCTAGTTTTTCATCCATCTTGTTATTTACCATCTCATTCATAAGTCCATGTAAATTTTTTTCAAATGTATTAACATTGTTTAGTATAGTCAGATATGTATGTTGTTAGCCTCATAAAAATTACAAATAATATTAGGTATATTTTTATATCCAGAACCCACTTCATGAAAATCATGGATCCGCCACTGATTAGTAGTGATTGAGAATACAAGAGAAGGCATGTCCTTTATTGACAAAAACAACAATATTTAACTTTACCCATCTTTTTAACATTTTAAAAAATTATTACTCCATTTTTGAAACGTTTTTGAGTTAATCCAAGTGCCTTCTCAAAAATAGTTAAATTTGGTTTATTTTTTTACATACATTAGTTCTCCAATGTGTTCTCGTTTCAAGTGTTTTACTTAAATCTGTTTGGCTTTGTAAACCATGAGTATTTATAGAAATCGGGTTGAATATATCTCTTATATATATATGTAGTGTCATAAACTTATCAAATTTCCAATTAGACTCCGTAACTAAAGGTGTCAAACTTGATTTTTGCGTTAATCTCAAACATGACATGTGAAAAATAACATAAAAGTTTCATTGAAAACGGAGGCTGGCTAAGTTCCTTGGACGGTATCTGTGTAAGGATAGAGACAAATTTTGGGTTTTTAATGCGTACATAATGCAAATTAAGAAATGTGTGTGTTATAGTGACAGTTGGAATATAAATCAAGTGTTAGGTAGAACAATTAGTTAGCAAAGGAGATGAACTTACACGTACTACATATTTTTTTGAAAACAAAAAACACAACAATGGCACCTTATTTTCCCTCCCTTCCCATCTAATACAAAGTGCAATCAGCATACCAACAAGACGGGAAAACCATGGAATATAGATTCTCAACCAGCTAATAGATAGAAGGCTAAAATTCATATTTCTCTTAATTGTTTCACAAATTTAACCACGAAAAAGAAGCAAAATTTATAGGCAAGGCCAACATCAGTAGAACTACATAGTAGATGAATACGATTCAAGTTCATATCAAAACTAACACCTGCAGCATTCTCAACAAGAAACCGCATTTGCTTCTTGACAAAAGCAGCAAGCTTACAGCCTTCTTCCTCTCCTACCACCCTTTCTGCGAGTGCTATCAGTAGGAATTGGAGTCACGTCCTCTGCAAGATAATTTAGAAAGTTATGTGATCCATCTACAATTTCACTTCACATTAAGTGTTTCTCACAAGGGTTTTACTAACATAATGGACAGATAATTCTCACTTTTGATACATAAAAGCTAAACATTACCTATACGACCAATTTTCATTCCTGAACGAGCAAGAGCCCTGAGAGCAGACTGAGCACCAGGTCCAGGTGTTTTGGTCTTGTTTCCACCAGTGGCTCGAAGCTTGATGTGAAGTGCATTGATGCCAAGCTCCTGTACTCAAGAAGACAAGATCCAAAAGAGTGAGCAGAATGAAACACACTATTCAACTGATGGTAGATGGTAAGGGAAAATAAGAACTGAATATAGCTACAACCTTGCATCTCTGAGAAACATCTTGTGCAGCAAGCATAGCAGCATATGGGGAAGATTCATCCCTATCAGCTTTGACCTTCATCCCACCTATTAGAAACAGGTGACAGCAGAGATTCATTACACCTCTTCCCAATAAATAACAAAGACAAGGGTAAAGAGCAGGAATATAGATGAGCTTTGGAATTGTTTAGAAATGCTATACAGAATTTGAAGTAGAGCTCAAATAGTTACAATCATAACAGGCTCATAATCCAGAAACTACTGAAAGTCAACATAGACAATAGCCTATTATCTTTGAATGTGATTCCTAATTATTATTGCACTTGTGATGTTCAACATAACCGGAGATACAATCCCAAAGGTAACAAAAGTTTATATCTATTCAATTTCTAAACAAAATAAACATCACACAAGCACTATGGCCCATAATGCTTGAGATCAGCAGTAGAAGCCAAAAACCAACACCAAACCTAGAATACATCACAAATGTCAACTACTATAACATAGTAATCACATTATGCACCATCATTAAACAATGCAACCTAACAACCATTGAAACCCAAAACTTGACTTTCTGCCATGTCTGGTGAGGATAGAATTAAGGTATACAACATATCCAGTGCAATCACATTAATCACATGTATTTTCTTATATTATTTGATAGCATTAAGGTATACATCAAATACATGGCAAAGATGTCACTCAGATGGCTTTTTTGTTGTCAGAACAGTGCTTACAATTGCGTGCCATAACTCTAAATGAATTGAAGGCAAGTAAAAGCCAGATTACGTAAAATTTGATCCCTTAATTTATCAGCCCCTCAACATATAAGCCAAGTACCAAGATATTCAAATTTAAATAAGCCTACTCTGTGAAAAGATATAGTTCTTACCAGTAATACGAACCATTGTTTCCCGTCCAGACAAATCAGTCACGTGCTGCAGTCCAAAAACAAAGTATGTAACTACTTGAGACAACGTAATGAGACAATAAAGAATAATGGATCCATCGGTTACCACATACAATGAAAGTGTCATTGAATGATGCAAAAATGTGAGCGACACCGAAAACAAGCTCTCCCTCTCTCACAGAAGGACCAAGAGTGACGGTCTCTTCCTTTGGCTCCCTAGTTCTCCTCTTCGACTGCAAGGTCAAGTCATCAACATAACAACAAAATAGATAACAATAGAAAGCTTAATACTGACCATTCTTTCCTTCATTATTCGACAAAGCAAAACAATAATTTCCTTTTAAAAAATAAATCTAATTAAGCGCAGATCCACCATAGACGCTAACTGTTCAGCAGAACACTCTAAATCTCTGTTAAAAAAGTTAATTAAATATGTATAAATAATCAATAAAGAACCCCTAAATCTCTGTTAAAAAAGTTAATTAAATATGTATAAATAATCAATAAAGAACCCACTAAGCCAAAAGGATTTTGGCCTCTACCCATAAACTTAAAATCCTAAATACGCAAACTGACTAAGTTACAAGTTTCAACAAGGCTTACTTATAGAGTTCATGCATCACTTCTAAACCAACTACAGCTTGTCCAAATTCTTTAATTTACTAGTCATAAGCTTCAACAATTTGGTTTACAGAGCAAAACTTTATCCAACCATTATCTATGGCTAAAATGTGATGTAGCCAATTTGCATCACTTTTCGAAGTGAAGTATCAAGATAGTCTACTGGGGTATGTTCCAATTCCACAGATCATTGTCCTAAACTACTGATATCTAAATGTTGTAAGCAAGAGATTAACAATGGGGACCATGTCTTTAAGCAAGATCAGAACAACAGAGGAAAACCAGATTTTCACTAGGAAAGGTACAATCTTTTCATCAGAAATCCAGAACAATAACTAATCTAAGCATACCCAGATAACTCATGGATTGAATTGAAGCTATCCTAAAGATACAGCAGCAAATAACATCAAATTCATCCACAATATTCAAGGAAAACTAGTGTATTCGATAGATTTCATTACCATGGTGTTGTTGCTGATGAGACTTCTGCTGAAACGGCGGTGTTCAATTCGGAGGAGGTTGAATTCAGAGAAGGCGATTTGGTTCAGCTGCAGCTTTATATGTAGCAAGACGGCGTTAGGGTTTCAGCATCAAACTTAAAAACTAAAATTTTCTAAAACAACCCCCACATGTTTCTGATAATGTTTAATTGAATCATTGTCTTTTTTAAAAATCCAAATTGCACCATTTCTTCAAAAACTATCCTTTCTACCTCCGTCCACTTTTAATTGTCATAATTTCCTTTTTTAGAGTCAAACGGTAATAATTTTAACTAACATTTTACGATGTACTTTTTCATCATATTGATATGCAAGAAACTTGAATCTATACTTTTCGTGTAGTTTTTGAATTATCCAATTTTTTTGTTTAAAATATTGAATTAATATAATCTAATTTAACTTTGAAAATTAGTCAAATTGACTTTTGAAAAGCACAACATGATAATTAAAAGTAGACAGATAAAGTATTTCTTTCAATTTGTTTTTAAAAGAGAATATTATTTTTTCATGTGAATTTGGTAAAGGGAGGTTTTCCCTCCGCTTTAAACGTCTTTTCCCCGCTTGTTCAAGGCACCTTTGTACTTCACTTCCGCTTCCTTCCTAGGTATATTCCTACCCTACCTATCGAAATGAAAAAGAAGTCCCCTTTACCAGGCTCAGCACGAAATCATTCTAAAAAGTGTATTTACAAGTACCAAGCGCCTATTCGTTCTAAAAAGGTTGGAATGAAAAACACATTTCAAAAGCCTAGGAAACCGCTTTCGTTACTTCACTTCTGCGCTTCCATTCCCCACCCCTTATTAGTATAGTTACGAAAAGTATAGTTCCCCATCAGCTAACATGTTTAAGATGATAAGATTCAACGTACATCTTTGATACATCAAATACATATTAATGGTCGTTTGAAAAATTGAGTTTGAATTTTATCAAATCAATTATAAGTTTTTTAAAATAAAATCATAATGAGTTTCTGGATACATTTATAAATGTATCAAATATGTCTTAGAATTATATGTTTAAAATATATTATACTCATATATTAAGTTTAAAATTAATGAAACAATTTTCTTTTTACTTGGGCCTTGGGACGGGTTTCGGATTGAAAACAGTCGTAGAAATACCATTACTTTACTTTGGTATAAAATAAAGAGGGTGCTCTCTATTGATTCTCGATAATCCTCCTCCTTTATCCGAATTTGAGACGGGCAATACGAAGAAGCCAGTAATAGGGTAATTTTAAGATTCTCAAATATTTGGATAATAACTACTTATTCAAAGCTAGTTAAGTTACAGAGGTAGACCAAAATAACTACATATATTTTTTAAAAGAAAAAAAATAGTTTCAATCTATTCTCTAAGTTTGAAGGCAAAAGAGAAAATTTGCAGGAAGTGACTTAAACTTGTCAACTATGCAGTACTCTAAGAAATAGCAAAAGCAGACCCAATATGATCCATGACTTGAGTTTATACTGAAGTCAGTCCCACATATCCAGCAGTCAAGGCTAAAATGCTAGAAAAAACATATGCACCAGCAACAATGACAGGTTCTTTTACTCCACATAATTCAAGGTGGTGATGTAATGGTGCCATTCGAAACAAGCGGTGTCCACTTCCTAGGAAATGTTTTGTTGTCTTGAAGAAGGAAACCTAAGACACAGGTAAGTCTGTGTCAGTTGAATCTAAAAAGTGCAAACATATCAGTGGAGATAATTCGATACAGCATTGTTAAGTAATAGGTGAGGACAATCAAGGTGCAGAGGTTGTATATGAACTAGACATTAATTTCATATGCCATGCTTATAGAAACAGCAAAAACTCAACCTCATCTCAGGTCCAAGAACAAGGACCATCCGAAGCAACATTCTTATGAGAGTGGAGAAGCCAGCTTGATTAGTTAATTACATTTGCACAGTGAAAGATTCGTAAAGCAATAAGGAAGCAAATTTAAGTAGAGTGATGCAAACTCCTCAAACTATGGAAAACACATTTGTTTCTCCTTAATTCCCTCCATGACTATATTTCTAAAGAGAAGTACACACATGGACGATGAGGAGAAAGCAAGGGAAAGAGAAACCAATGTAAGAAACCTAAGTTGCATTGCTAGGTAGGTAGGTTGATAGAGACTAGAGAGGGAAGGGGAACTGACCACAGTAATAAAAGTTCAAAATAAAAATGAAAGGGGCTAAAGAGAGCAATGAATTCCTCTTCCAAATTCTCAAACACCAACACAAGTAGACAATAGAAGCATCTCTAGATTGCAAACTTCGAACAAGAAATCCGGAGAGGATAAAGTTACCAACAACAACATACACAGTATAATCCCATAGGTGGGGTCAGCGGAGGATAGAGTGTATGCATAGAGTGTATGCAGACCTTACCCTACCTCGTGGGGGTAGATCAGTTGTTTCCGAAAGACCTTCGGCTCAAGTAATGCATACCAAATAAAAGGATAAAGTTACCAGAATGAGAAGTTCTAAGAATATCATATTTGCAAACAAACTGATAATCATCCAGAATTTTTGAGAAAGAGAATTATCCATGGGTAAAGTTAACAAGTTACCTGCAGTATAACTGATAGTGCTTCCAGGACAAAAACACCAGATGAAATGAACAATGGAAAGAACATCCCTGTACAAGCAGCCATAGAAGCCAGTGCACCCCCTAAGGCTAAAGCTCCTGTATCACCCATAAAAATTGATGCTCTGTACCGGTTGTGCAGAAGAAATCCTGCACAGGCTCCTGCCATAGATGCTCCAAATATGGAAAGCTCTGTTTTGGATGCACAAACCCATACTCAGCAAGAATCATGAACATTCAGAAAATGCAAGTTTCAAGACACTGCTTCTCTAGGAAATTAAAATGAAATCAACTTTTTTCATCACAAAATTTTTCATGAACAATATTGAACTAAGTAAGACAATGTAGTCAGTACACTTGAATTGCAATAAACACCACAAGGATCAACAGTTCACGCACTGACCAGAACATATAGGAAGCACTGCAATAGACATAGCAATGAACGCCAATGTGGCTGTTCCTCCAGCCAATCCGTCGAGACCATCAGTAAGATTAATTCCATTAGCCATGGAAGCAAAGCAAAACGAAGTTAAAAAAGGATAGAGTCTTCCAAGGCATATAAGCCCAAGAGGTGCGGGTAGGGGAACCACTGTTTTCCTGCATGCACACAGAAGATATGAACCTTAAGCGATACAGAACTATTTTTTATGCATATACCACATTGGATTTAATAACTAACTGAGAAAGAACAGGTTTCTGTCACTATATACACCCTACAGGAAGCATGTTTGCATCTTCAGTAGCAGAATATCCAAGTGAACTCTAAGATTCAAGCAAGGGTTCATAGGCTTTGCATTCTTTATTCGTTCTTATTTTTGTATTCAACACTCGAACTGTAATTATTCAGAAGATGTGCAAGAAACTGATCTATCAAAAAGAATGAAGATTAGTGTTGTATCTAAAAAATCCAGCATTTGTATATGCTGCTAGGAAGCTATCAAGATCAGTAATTCCTGTCATCCTTTTTTTTGGTTAGGTAACTCCTGTCATTCTTATATCCCCCTGAGTTAGTCGCAACCTTAAGTTAGAGAGTTTTTAATCCAATTACGGAATGCTACAAAATTCAAAATGTGGCATTGACCAATTAGAAAATTCAGGATACAAATTTGTTAGGACCAAAGCCAAACTAGGGACGAATCCAGTTCATTTAGAAACATCAATTTGAAGACTGAGAATACATGAGCTTAAATTTTGTTGATATACTGAATAAGAAAAACTAGTTGTTAATATAAGATAGATTTGTGAGTTACCATCATAAAAAGGTTGATGAAATTAGTTACAAGAATGTATACATGCTGTAGGGTGACGATATGTCCGATGCATACAGCCAAAAGGAGAAAAATGTCCCAGCAGCTACCTGTGTGCCAGAGAGGAGTACCGTCAACTCCAGAGAAACAAGAAGCCAAAGTAGGATTTGCAGAAAGTACAAAAAAAGGAAAAAAGGCTCACCTCCGACATGATTCGAAATCGAGCGGATAAGCCAACGTTATTATTCCTCATACTTATCAAATCATCAAGTAATCCAATTGCTGCAAAAGTTAAAGTTGCTGCAGAAGCTCCAAGAACTTCCAGAGAAGAAAACCCAACAATAATTTCAGCAACAATTACTCCAATTGGAATAAAATACAATCCGCCCATTGTAGCAGTTCCTTTCTTACTAGAGTGCCGAGCAGGCCCCTCCTTCCTGATTACAGAGTGAAGTTTCAAACTACGAAATAAAGGGACACAGACATAACCTACACAAGACACTGCCACTGCGGAGATGAGAAAGGGACGCATCAGGTAAAGTGGAGCCAGGGGCAATCTAACAATTTTCCATGCACAACAATCCACAAGAGACAGAAGCACCGTCGAGAACATTATGAGACCTATGTTGTTTAGAATGCCATATTTTATCCTGCATAAATGGGTTTGAAAGGCACTTAGAGAATGGAGAAATAAACAAAAACAACCTCCCCAGAGTAATTCTAAACAGACAATCTTCATTCCTTTAAGTTCATCAGTCCAATAATTTTATAGCAGCAAAGTATAAGGCACATTGAACAGGTATAAAGATATATAGGTACCAGTTATACTGGTACAAGTAGATTTACCTTTTTCTCTTGTACGCTCTGCCAAGCATTGTTAGCTGGTGAGTTGTTACGGAGTCGTCAGCAGAATAAAGCTGCTCCTTGGAGGTAGGCAAATCAACATCCGTGATTGGCTGTAGTAAAATATCTCCATCACTGTCTTCACCTTCACTTGATGAGAACCTATATTCGATTGCTCCATTATTATCTCCCCAGT